TGCACCTGACACATAAATCCAGGGCTCAGATGGGCCTTCCCCTTCATAGCCTTCCTGGATTCCACACAGGTACTCAGGACCCAGAATGACTGGAGAAGAAGCACTGGGAAGGGTACCTGTGTCTAGTATCTCAAAGGCATTAGCCAGTCTTCAGGGTTAGCCTGGTTTTGCTTTTTTGTAAAAGAAGAAACTTCAAAGGCTAGCTTTATTTTCTATAAGCAGTTCCGATATGATTGCTATGAACAAATACATCAGGTAAATGTAAATGAAATAAACTCACCATAGTTTCAAAAATCTTTTCAGTATTTTCAAATCTTAAAGTCATGTTATATTAAATTGAGTAATAGATAATCATAAAATGTCTGAGTCACTAAAACGTTAATAAACATAAGTTCAAGTTTATATACATTGACATCTTGTTTTCATATGGTTTAAAAAACCTAAATATATCTGGATCTGTTAATAAAAATTAAAAATTGAGAAAGCATATCTTTCTAAAGATCATGAAATATTTTCATCTATAAATATTAATAGCCAAGAATTAAAATTACTTAGTTCCTAGATATTTTTACTGGAAATTAGGCTTACTAAGAGTTAAAATTTTAATTAATATATGTAATTAAAACTCAAAATAAGGGAAACAATTCTATGTACAGAGTATATGAGATTTCAGAGAAGGCAACCCTGCTCCTCACAGGCAGGGCCAGTTTCTAGGTGGGTAAGCGAACATCAGAGAACAATTTCATCCTGCGCTTTAGGAGAGAAAGAAGATTGAGGAACTGGGGAGGGTCAGAGAGAACTTGAAGCTGCTTCTGCAGTTCCGTTATATTTTGGGGTGAAATATTCTGGTTTCCTCCAGTCCTTCATTTGAAACTTTATTTTCAGGAAGTTTCACATATTAAAGTAGGATTAGTAGCTCTGGGGAGAGAAATTGGGTTAGTAGCTGAGTGGCAAGGGATCCGTGTAAAGAGAAAGGAACACAGATTAGGATGAGAATAAACATGTAGAAAATAACAAGTCTAAGCATATTTTTTTTGAACATCCAATTAAACCAGTCTCTTATTTCTGGAAATAGGCCAGTCCAATTAAACATGTGCTTTTCATTCTAGAAGATGGTGTCACAGATGGGTTCCCAGACTAGGCCTCCATCTGTGATGTAGGGAAACAGAGCTTTACTAAGAGGACTTTCTATGGGAACAGGGAAAAAAAAAAGGTTAATGGCTGGGGAGTTTATAAAGTAGTTTCTTTAGAGTCTGGAGGGCAGGCAGTCAAGAAGATTTGTGACAATCTGACAGGATTTTTTAGTTTGCAGTTTGTGCATGCAATGTTTTGTCCAAATATAAGCTGTTACAGTGATTTTTTTTTTCCCTTCAAAACCAAGTTGACTAGACTCAGCCTCAGCCTCAGGAAAAAGGTAGTTTTAATTTCTGGTGATTCCAAATCAGAGGGTCCAAGAAAAATGGGAAATGTTTGTTTGGAGAGTTGCAGCCAGATATTAGAAGAAACTAAAAATTCAGGATTCAGTCAAGATAATAAAAAGCTCAAAAACAAATGGTCAGGGCCACAATCTAACAGCAGGTGTTCTATAACTTTTTTTTATAGGAAACATAATTTTTCTCTTTCTAGTCCTGCAATTACTACCAAAGATAATCATGGTTAGACCAATTTGTTCACAAAGTAAGTTTAGTCTTTGGTCTGATTATTTACATAAGTTTCGTAAGAGTGGTGATTAACCACGTAGGCTCTTTTTAAGGTGGTTTTGCTGGGATTTTTCCATAAGGAATCTCAGATTAGACTTTTCAAAAAGCCTCCCCAGGGTAGGAAGCCAAGCCAAGGGTTTGACTCACCTTCAGACTTTGTCTGTAATACTTGTATAAATTGGGTGAATAGCTCGTTTCTTGAGATCTCCCAAATGTTAATATCTTGAGTTTTGTGAGCCTGTCATAAAGTGGCATTCTTTACTTACCACAAGGAAACCATGTAAGGAAACCATGGAGACAAAGCACCAGCCTAGTCTCTCCAAGGGGATTTTTATTGGCTCCATAAAAGTCAACATTAATCCCTTAATGTAGTCTGGTCATATCTGAAAATGCTAGATTCTAATCAAGGCCCTAGTAACATAGCCAGTGTCTCCAATTGTGTTCAGTTACAAAACAGAACAAATTCTTCATGAACTTATGCAAATAACTATATTGCTGTAAAATAACAATACTCATGTGTTGGGAAAATATGATTGAGGGGTTAATGAGATGTGGCTCATGAGACCATTATTTTTATTGTATCGCCCTATGTTACTATATTAAAGACAGAAACAGGAGTTTGCAGGGTTTTGCCCTGAGACATGGGTTTCCTGCTCTCTCCTGTCTGTATATCTTTAAGTCCACAATTACTAATCAAAGAAATATAGAGTCACTATACCTCGTTTGTTATACCTTTGTTAATTGACAACTACCTCTTATAACTCAGAAGTTAGCCCCTGAAGGACTTTGTACCTGTTTTTGTTCACCTAGATAGATGAGAAGCCCCTTGAGAGGACTTTTGACCCCAACCCACTACCAAGTCAGAGGGTCCAGGAAAAAATGGGAAACGTTTGTCTGGAGAGTTGCAGCCAGATATTAGAAGAAACTAAAAATTCAGGATTCAGTCAAAATAATAAAAAGCTCAAAAACAAATGGTCTAGCCATTTGGTCTATCCCCTAAGCAACTGCATTCCCTAATATGCAAATATGTTACCCTGACAACTGGTAATCGATGTCTGTGATTATAAAAACCTGTATAAATCTAACCATATGGCTGGCGTTTATGGGGAATCTAGTTCACCCCAGTGAAGCCATTTATTTTAGGAAACCTGTAGATGAAACCTGCCGCAAAACTCATGAAGAATTCCCAAATGCTGGAGGGACCAGGTAGACAGAAAGGTAAATGTTACAATTTTGCTCACAAAGGTATACTTTATAGCTTTTGTTGTAAAGCTAATAGATACCTTAAGAGGAAAAAATTTTCTTAACACTGGAAAACAAAACATGAGATGAATTAGCAATGTTTCAAACAAGAAAGTCATAAAAAATATCATTTCAGTCCTTCATCAGTTCGGTCCCATGTTATTCCTGTTCCACTTCATATTAGGCTAGCAACTTTTTGAGTCTAGGTTTTTTATTTTGTTTGTTCTGTTTTTTAATTAGAGTTCTGGAATTTTTACCTAATTCAATGGTATGGCCTCAAAGTTCTCTGAAATTTGTATTTAAGAGTAATTATTGCAGTGTTTTCCATAAACCTCCTCCGGAGATACAACATTTTAGGATTTGCAAAGAGCTTCAGGAAAAAAAGCATCATAATACAGCAGTTCACTGTGGACAAGAAGACTTAAAATGGCCATGATTAAAGATGCAAGTGAAAGACCTTATGACAATCTCTGCAGCTGTGTTCTGGGTAGTTCCCTCCTCTTTGGAGACATTCCCTGCAGCTTCTTGTAGACTCAGCCTCCCTGAACTCAGGTCTCTGCGTCTTCAAGTCACTGAGGCCACTGGGCTCTGTTTGGGTTGTTGCTTCTGCACCCATGGTCTGGGAGATGCCGCTAGGCAGAAAGTCGGGGCACCTGTGAGACTTCTCTCTTTGTTTCTGTATCATGAGGGATCACAGTTCTGTGCTGTCTATTGTTGAATGTCCAAAAACAGCTGTCTAATCTATTTGTCCAGTTTCCAAGTTCTTTACTGTGAGAGGGGAGGTCCGAGCCTCGCCATTCCCTCATGGCCAGATGTGAGATGCTCATTACTTTTTTTTTTTTTTTTTTTCCGGCATACTATGGGGGTACAGATTTTAAGGTTTCAATAAATGCCCTTCCCCCCCCCACAAGTCTGAGTTTCCAGCATGACCATCCCTCAGATGGTGCACATCTCACTCATTACTTTTTAAACTTCCTTTCTTTCGATAGTTATTTCTTCCTTGTCATTTATTTGTTTGTATTTGTGTTTTCTCCCTTTTTTTCCTTAAATAGGTTTGTCTGCTTTGTTGGTGTTTTTCAATGTACTAGGTTTGAATTTATTACATATCTACTATCTCTTTTAAATTTCTAACTCCTTAATTGTTGCTTTTATCTATATTATCTCTTTTCTTTTGCTTTCTTTGAGTTTGCTTTTTAAAAACTCTTTCACTTGGAGCAAAAACTCTTTCAATTTTTAATGTTCTATTTAATTTTTTAAAAAAATTTTTACCGAGTCTAGGACTATACTTCATACACTGAGCATATCATGAATAAATGTGTTAAGAGAGTAATGCTTTTGGTAACATTTAAATAATAGTTTCATGCATTACTTTTTAAAATAACAGCTTTATTGAGATATAATTCACATATCACAAAATGTATCCTTTTAAAGTGTACGATTCATGGGTTTTAGTGTATTCAGAATTGTACATCTCATCACTCTCTCGTTTTAGAACATTTTCATCACCCCAAAAAGAAAAACTGTACCCCTTAGCAGACTCTCCCCATCTCTCCCCTCAGTCCCTAGCAACCACTCATCTGTTTTCTATCCTCACAGACTTGCTTATTATGGACGTGTAGTATAAGTAGAATCATACAATTTGTGATATTTTGTGACCGGTTCCTTTCACTTAACATACTGTTTTCAAGAGTATGTTGAGCATGTATCTATACTTCCTGTTTATGGTGAATGGTAGACCGTATGGATGGATGGATGGTTTATCCATCCATCAGTTGATGCTTTTCCACTCTCTGGATATTATGAATAATAATAGCTATACTATTGCTGCTGTAAACATTTGTGTACACATTTTTGTGTGGACATATGTTTTCAATACTCATGGAGTAGAATTGCTGAGTCATACAGTAACTTTAGATTGAACTTTGTGAAGAATTGCCAAACTGTTTTCCAAAGCATCTGCATTATTTTAAATTCCCACCAGCAATGAATGATGGTTCCAGTTTTTCCACATCTTTGCCAACATTAGTTATTGCCTTTTTTCTTCACTTTTGCCATCCCAGTGGGTATGACATGTATCAGATTGTGGTTTTGATTTGCATTTCTTGCAATACTAATGATGTTGAGCATCTTTTCCTGTGCTTATTGACCATTTGTATATCTTACATTTCATCTTACATTTTTAGCTCTTCCATTTGTGCCCAGGATCCATGTTGAGTTAATTTTTGTGTATGTTATGAGGCAGGGCCCCAACTGCATTCTTTTGTATGTAGGTACCTACTTATTCTGGCAACGTTTGTTGAAAAGCCAGGCATCATTTTTGCCAAGAGAGAAAAAAAACTCTTCTAATATATAAATGAATGACTTTGTAATTTTATAAAATCATAGGACAGTACCTGTAGAATTCTGCTTAGAGGTAGCCCAAATGCCTGAAAACAAGTCATTTGGTTTACCCAAGCCCCTTCCTGCATCAATTCTCTGCCTAACTCATGCACCCAGAACCTATACCAACCCAGAAACTCTGCAGCTGGTTCTCAACCGTGTTGGTGGTAAGAATCCCCCTCTCCTTTTTCTCTCCACATACTTGTAATTCCACCCAGAGACCAAAACTCTCAAAAAACTAGTGAATGTCGGAAGTTGCGGTGTGAAGTGTTTGGGGAGAGATTGTTGATGACACATTTCATTTGAGAAAATAAATTCTGGTGAGGGAAGATGAAGGTATAAGGAGCCCTAGAGTTAGTTCAAGAATGAATTGTGATCTTTAAAATATCCTTCATTGGTACAGGGTCCTAAGAAATCAGTGGTGTGAAGGAAGACCCACTCCTGTACAGCAAAACCACCATGGATGAAGGCCATCTAGACCTGGGATCGTGGGCCAAGGTGTTCCATCCATCACTAAACTTGTTTAGTGCAGCAGATTTTCCAGCAGCTCACTCAACTGCCATTCCCACTTCCTGTTAGTGATCCTTCCAGTACCACAGACTCACGGAAACTATAAACCCCACTTACCAGAGCCAGGATTTTGGATGTGGATTAGATTCTGCTAGGCAGATGTCCAGGTGAGAGTAGGAGGACATGAGCAATGGGAGGCAGTGGCCCTGCTCATGCTCAGGGAAGTTGGAGGTCTTCCCAAGCAATAGGCATGTTGGCTCTCCTGGAACAGTTCTGGCAGTTTGGAGACTCTGGGTCCCAGAATCTTAGGTACTGAGCAGAAGGTGATGGCAACACTGGTGTTTCCACTAGAGAAGTTCCACATATGGTTGGGCATTTCCCTTGATTGCCATTGTTTCCAACTGTGTATCAATCAAATCCTACTCTCGGACTCTCACTGAGGTTCTGTAAGATCCATCAGACCAGCTGATAGATCACTTTCTTCTGCTAGTAACTGGAATGCATTCTATTGTCTGCCACTATGAGCCGTAACCAGTGATCTCACCAACAATGATAGTTGACACACTGTGTTGGAGGCCATCTTCAAGTCTAGGTAAATATTTCTTCTTCTAAAAGTGAACTAAAAAGAAAAACATCAATATGCTGCCAATTGGAATAAAAAATTCAAAAACATTGAAAGAAACAACAACCCTGATGACTCAGAAGAAGATGAAGAGACTTTTGGACATGATTTACTACTCAAACCAGGAATAATAAATTATTTTGGAAACTGAGGATGATTTACTAGATTAACTGGAAATAAATTGTTCTGGAAACAGTTTTCCATCCCTAACAAAATACACAGAGACAGTGATGCCATGAAACAAGAACAGAAAGCCACGGCCTAAGAACAGGCTGTGATGAAAGGGGGAAGAGGGTGAGCATTAAAGAGAACAGAGTCAGGCCACGTGCTGCATGAGGAGACAGCTCTTCACCCACACCACGATTCTCTGGCCCAGCGAGTGCGACTTGATAGTAATTGTCACGTCTGAGAGCTTTGAGGAGAGATTCAAACCTGTGAAACATGGCTGGGCGCTCACTCCCTGGGTCTGACACGGTGCGTGCTGGCCCGGGAGGTTCTGTGCATGGTGGCACCTCCCGTGGGTGCCCATAGCAGCTCACGCCTGATCTCTGCTTCCACAGGGAGCCTGGAGACATTGAAAAGGAAGAGCAGGCCGCTGCTGCAAAGGCTGTGACCCCTCAGGAATTCTGGGGGGAAGGGACTGTTCCAGCTGCCGTGTGACCCCTGCTCACCTGAGGTCGTGGACCGGGCTGAAGGTGACAACGCAGGTGCCCCTGGGTCCCTGTGCAGGACGGGGGAATGGTCTGCGTCTGTCACTGCACGGGCCACCGCATGGCTGGGGACAGCCACCTCCTGAGTCGTCTTAACCGGTCTTCCACAGGCTCTTACCCAGAAAACAGAAAAATGCTGAATGGAAAATTAACATCAACTAAAAAAAAAAAAAAAAAAACCCAGTAAGATGAGCCAAGACCACAAGAGGAGGAGATAAACAGGGTTAGTGAGACAAGAAAGGATGCTAAGGAAACTACAGTTGCAACAAGATAAATATGCTTTGGAAGAGTCAGAGAATACACTGTCAGATTTGATATCATGCAGTATTTGGTTCTTTAGAAAACATAATAAACTCCAGTTAAATATAATCAAGAAAACAGGAAAAAAGGAAGAAAGAAATGAGAAGAGATAGAATAAACAAACTTCTGGCAAATATAATCAATAAAAAACGGGCCAATTAGAAATAAGAAATTTCAAGGGAAGAAAAGAACTGGGGGAAGAAACATACAAGAATAGAAATATAGGAGACATGGCAACTGATTATAATGCTTGGACTCAAACCATATAAAAGTAAAAGATAATTGGGGAGACATAAACATTGAATGGGTATTTGCCGACATTAATTATTGTTGCTGTTTTAGGTAGATAGTGATATTTTTATTATTTGTAGAGTTCCCAGATTTTCAAGATATATGCTGGAATATTTAAAGGCAAAATCATGATGATAGAATTTGTTCAAAATAATGGGAGAGGGAGAGGCAATGAGAAAGGAAGTGAAGAGGGGTATGGATGGAATAAAGTTGTCCGTAAGCCGACCAAGGTTGAAGCTAGATGAGACAATAGGACCTTGTACTATTTTCTCTAATTTTATATAATAAAAAGTTTTTAAAATTAAAACTGAGGTGAGAACAAAAGTGATAGGAGATTATGATGTTCTACTGTATGCAAAAGATAATTAAAAATCCTAAAGGACAATTTTCTGGACATATTACCAAAATTGACAGGAAAGACATTTAAAATGTGAACATATTACTAACCCCAGAAGAAATTTAAAATACAATTAACATAGCTCAAAAGTTTCTTTCAAACTTGTAAAGAATTAGTTTATATCAACTATTCCAGAGCACAGAGAAAGATGGAAAGCCACACAGTCTATTTCATGAGGCTTGATTAATCCTGGCTTCCACACCTAACAAAGCTAACACAGGAAAAGAAAACTATAAGCCAGTTGCATTTGGGAGTAATGTAAACATCCTAAATAAAATAGCTGCAAAATAAATAGTATCTGGAAAGAATTTTCTATCATGATCAAGGAAAGCTTATCTTGAGAGTGCAAAAGGCTTCGATATTAGGAAATGCAACATTATAATGCCGTATGTCAGCAGTCTCCACTTTTAATAGTGATTTAGAGGGCGTTAAATAACACCTAAAACACATTCTCATATTTTTAAAAATTCTTAGGGAAAACTAGAACTAAAGGATACTTCTTTCACATCATGATTATATGGACAAAAGGCCAGCATCTTACTAAATGGTGAAACATTACAAGTATTCCCATAAAAATCAGAAACAAAGCAGATGGGTCTGCTTGAAGCATTGCTATTAATATTTCACATTGTGTAAGAAGATCTGTGTCAGGTAATAAGATCTGAACTAGAAATACAAACTATTACTATTAGAAAGGAGGAGATTAAAAGTTTAGTATAAACTAACGATATAATTAGAGAACCTAAACACCCAAGGAAATCAACTCTAAAATGCTTAACATTTCAAAGAAATCTTACTAAACGGGCCAGATTAAAAAAATATAAATGTACCATAGTCAATAGCTTTACATATACCAACATGAAACAAACAAAAAATATATTATCATCAGTGAAAAAGCCCAGTCTGATTCTTTTTTGTAGAATAGAGATTATATTAATATATATACATACACACACATATACATACATATACACACATATGTATATATATTCCCAGAAACATAAAAATAAAAATGATCATATGTACACCTAAGAGATTTTAATAGTAATTATTTTGTGAGATCAATTTTTATGTAATTTTTATTTTCTCTATGCTTTCATGCTATATTATTTACAAGTATTACTTGTATTACTTTTGAGATCAGAAAATAAATTGAATTTGTTGAACCGACTTGAGTTTAAAACCAATCAACTAAAAGTAATAAATTTATTGGTGACATATAATTTTCAAGATTTCTGAACCGATCTGGGGATGAGAGCTTTTCTAAAACCTGGAAGTAACACACAGGAACAAAGAATCTGAGGCAAAGTTCAAGTGGATGAGCATGGAAATATTTCTCTAGCTTTCCCAAGCTGGCCAGTCTGTCTAGAAACTAATTTAAGAACATAAAGATGACATCATTGCAGGTGTTCTTTCAAAGTGGAGCATAAATTTATAATGCTTCTGGCTGACAAAATTGGAAGGGAGACAAGGTTTAAAAAGCCTGGGATATTCCCTTTGTCAATGCTCACCATCTTTATCGCCAAATAAAAGTATTTATATTTCTTCTTTCTGCCCCTTGGGCTCTGGTTCTTGGTTAAGAAATGTCTCATAAACTTCAGAAGAGGAGAAAAACATAAGGACAGAATGTTCTATTTTTTAAGACTATAAATATTTTAACTTCCAAAAGAGACCACCTATCACGAAAACTTCAGATCTTCCTATGCCTTATAAAATTAACTATAAAGTTTGTTATAGTTTCCAAAATCAAGTAGCATATGCCAGATGGGCTTAAAACGTTTTTTTGGAAATGAATACCCTGAACGTTTACAAAATGTCAACTTACTGGAAAAGTCATGTCGAAACCAAAAACTGAAAAGTAAGAGATGATGCCAATCAAAAAATTAAAAATCTAAACCTGGCTGAATTATTTTTAACCAAATCAACAGGTTGTGCCACTGTATAGGAAGAGCTACTACTTTGTGCTGATTATCTAAGAAATATTTAGTAAGCACCTGCTATTTACAAACAATTGAGATGGGCGCTATAGAGAGAATTGATAAAATATCTTAAAGGATTTAGAGGGTAACCAGGTAAAAAGACAAGTACAAAAATAAATAATAGAACTAAAAATTAACATGGAAAACCAAATAACCTAATTTTAAACATAGGCAAAAGGCTTGAACAGACACTTTGCATAAGAAAATCTATGCATGGTCAGGAAGCACATGACAAGTTGCTCAGCACTATGAGTCATCGGAGAAAAGGAAATTGAAACTATAGCAAGATGCCACTTCACACCCACTCGAATAGCTCAAATAAAAAGGATTGACAACACCAAATGTTGGCCAGGATGTAGAGCAACTGGAACTATCATTATGTTACTAGGGGAGAGTGAAATGGTACAACCATGTTGGAAATCTGGCAGTTCTTTTAAAGATAAATATGCATCCACCCTATGATCCAGCAATTCCATTTCTAGGTGCTTACCCAGGAGAAATGAAAACATACATCTACAGAAAAACATATGCAAAATTTATATAGCTGCTTTTTTTTCAATAGCTCCTCCCAAAGTAAATGCCCATCAACAGGAGGGTAGATAAACAAGCTATGGTATAGTCATACAAGGGGAATACTACTCAGCAATAAAAAAGAACAGATTATTGACAGGTGCAAAAACATCTCATTGAGTGACAGAAGTCATCCATACAAAGAATACGAATTGAAAGAATTCATTTGTTTGAAACTCTAGAATAGGCAGAGCTGCTCTGTGATGACAAAGCTATCGTGATAGACGTCAAAACGCGGTTGCCGCCAGGATTGTAGGAACACGCCAGCTGGAAGGGGCAGAAGGGAAAGTTCTTGGAGGCAGACATGTTCTGGGTCTTGATTGGGATGATGGTTACACAGGTGTGCAATTGTCCAAACTTACTGAACTAGACATTTAAGAGCCGTGCATTTTACTGTACTTAAATTATACTTCAATTTTTTTTAACGCTCAGAAAAGGTAAAAGTAGAAATAGTAGACATTTGACATTTGTGAGTTTGCATTGTAAGGACTACAAAAAGCCTCAAAGTTGTTAATATCGCCATAGTACACAACTGCACCAATAAAATGCTCACCTTGCCATGGGAGGAAGGAGGTCAGGGCCGAGCATGAGATGATGAAGCCACAGTGAGGCCAGAGTCCGGGTAGAGGCAGGAACCCACCCCTGGGGTCCACCCTGCAGTGTCCAAGTCTTGGGCATCAGAAAAATTATAATTTGCCACATATTAGAACCTCTACATTAGCTTACAAATGCTCAAAGAGGGGGGATTTTAAATTCAAGATGTAACTGCTGTGCAAGATAGAATATTAAAAACACCAAAAGGAAGTCATAGAGAATGTTTTAAATGAGGTCTAAAAGGACAGCTTAATCTCACCTCCTGGGTAGCAAGACCACATGAACTAAGACATTGACTCATCACATAGTCACCACTCCTCAGTCTGGCCCCATCCAGAAGTGATGGAGCTTGGACTGGCTCTGTGATTTGAAATGAATAGCCCTACTGGGCTAAATATATTGCTACATTAAGATGCATCCCTTAACAGCCTTAAAAAAATGTTTTTTACCATGCTATCTGGTGTAGTTCTGCTCAGGATACCCTGTAGGAATACACGTGGTAAAGGTAAGGATCGCCTTAGAAGAGCGTTTGCAGATTGCTGTGCTCTGCAATCTGTTGCTGTTGCCCAGAATTCATATGTGGAGCCCAGTCCCCAGTGTGATAGTATTACAAGGTGGGCGCTTTGGGAGGCGATTTGATCTTGAGGGCTCTGCACTCACGAATGGGATCAGTGTCCTCCTAAAAGACAACTGAGGGGGCCTCCTGCCCTTTCTGCCGCAGGAGAGCACAGTGGGACAACGTCGTTGGCATTAGATTGTCATGGGTGGTGGATAAATTGGTTCCTCTCATTTGATAAGGAATAGACTCAGACTCATTCATGCCACTTTAAGAACTGGGGTTTCATGATGCACTTAAAGAGGCCCCCAGTCATGAGGTGTATAGGGGTCTGCTGTTCTACTGGCCCCACATAGGGTGGACTTGAGGCTTGTTCAGACATAGCCCTGGGTCCCCGGACTCTATGTTGTCGTGTTGCCCCACTAACATCAGGTATTCTGGGGTCTCTACTACGCCATTGGCTGATCCCCTGTATCTCTTGGCTTCTGCCTCACTGCAGGTGCCTCCTCCTGTACCTTTTTTCTCGTCCTGTACCATCCAGCCGACTCCACCCCTGCCTCCAGGAGCGAGAACACGACCATCCTTGCTCAATGTTGTGGTCTCTTTCTAGGGCTTTTATCCCCTGGTCCCTTGCGGGTCACCAGTCAACCCACAACGAGGCTGCCCTTGTTTCAGGCAGGACCCCAGCCTCTCCCAGGATGAGAACTGTGGGACATTGTGATGATCGATTATATACGTCACCATGACTGGTCCTCAGGACACCCAGGTATCTGGCCAAACGCTATTCCGGACGTGCCTGAGCGGGAGTTTCTGGGGAGGAGCGACGTCGGAATTGGTGCACTGAGGAAAGCACGCCTGGCTGGCCGACTGCTGGAGCTGGAGCCTCCGTCTTCCCCGGCCCTCAGACTCAGACGGAAACGCGGGCTCTCCTGGGGTCCCCAGCTTGCAACTGCAGGTCTCGAGACCGTCCAGCCTCCATGATCACGTAAGCCAGTCCCTTGCATTAAATCTCTCCCTCTACACGCTCTATAGTTAGATGATTGATTGATAGATAGATAGATAGATAGATAGATAGATAGATAGATAGATCCTACTGATCTCTCCATATACGCACATGTTCAACCGGTTCTGATTCTCTGGAGAATTCTAACACAGACATGGCCTTCCCTGAGCAAGGCACTGCAGCTTGGCTGGGGGCCGTGCAGTTCCCTCTCACTGGGCAGCCGCCGCAGGTGTGTGGCGTGTGACTTCAGCACAGCCCACGTGGCCGTGTGAGCCAGAGAGGGAAACGCACCGGGCTTGTGTTTGACCATAAGCACAGCCAACCTCTCTTTTGAGACCATTCTGCGGCCACTACACCGCCCAGGTGCCCAGGACCCCAGCCTCCGAGCCTTTGTCCCATGCTCCCCGCTGCCCAGGACTCTGACCCTCCAGCTTTCAGTTTAGGGAGGTGTTGGCAGCTTAATACGAAACAGCCTCACTGCCAAGCACCCCGGCCCCTGCGGTTTCCAGCGAGTCCCGGGCTCCCCAATAAGGCCTCCAGCACAACCCAGACTCCCATCTCCAAAAGTCCGGAATGGATCTCCATGAGCGTTGAGAGTATGGGAAAGGGCCCGTTGGGACGACAGAACACCGGCGCTCCCTGGGGCTTCCTTAGAAAGAATGTGGAGTGCAAATGCAGCCACGGGCACAAGGAAGGACAACCAAGGCTGTCAACCCTGCATGAAGCCTAGAAAGTTCCACTGCTTGTAGCCACACCCACGACTGTTTTGTTTCGGGAAAAGGACAGGCACTGGGCTCCCCAGTTCCGAGAACAACCTGCTGGCCGCCTCGCCTTGCCTTCCACGGGGCAGGGGAGAGAGACCGCGTCTGAATGGGTAGGATCCCTAGATGTGTGTTTTCAACGTGTATCTGCGCATGTGCCCGCTCCACGCTCCGGCTGGGGGGCCGGCCGCCTCTGCCAGCTGTTTGCATTTCGGCGTCTCCCGCTGTCCCGCACTTGCTCCGAGCTGCCAGGACCCTGGCACTGGGGGACAGGCCTCCACACGTTCAGCAGAATTGGCTCCAGCCTTTGATGAGCTTCTTCTCTCCCCAAGAATAAAAATAGGGGCTGATCTAGCCAAGCGATCCTGGGAGATTAAGAGATTTCGAGGCCAAACAAGACCGAGATAAGCTGCCTACGTGTGAGCCAGAGGCAGGTCGGTGCCAGGCTGCCAGCCGCGTCCGGGAAGGGCTCCCGCTGCCTGACGGGACTTGTCCTGGGCACCTCTCCCCTCGAGTCCCGTGCCAGGCCTGCACGTCTGGGCAGAGCCTCCCGCGCCACCTGCACCCTCGCGAGGGGCTGCTGCCTGTCCTTTCGTGGCTCGGTAATTTTCAGCTAAAACTCAGCTGTTTGTATTTTTTTTTAAGTATCTACTCCCCTTATCACAGATACCTTTAATAAGAACCCCCCCCATGTTCCCCATGGGGAAGACACCTTCCCTATCTCCTTGGGAGAACTGGATTGGATCATTGCTCGGCTTCCGTGTGGATTCGTGTGTGTCCGAGGCTCACAGAGCGTGGCCCAGAAAGGAGCGAGGTGCCACACGTGGCAGGACCTCCCTCCACCCGAGGCGGCCCGGCGGGAACCCTCTGGAGCCCCCAGCCTGCGGAGGTGGCCCTGTGTGCTGGGAGGACGAGCTGCCCGGCAGGTGGAGGTGTGAGTGGGAGACACCGCCCCCGACAGCCTCCCTTCTTTGCGCCCCCCACAACCGAACAACTGGAAGCGTAGCCCCCTGGCACTCTTTGCGCCCCCCACAACCGAACAACTGGAAGCGTAGCCCCCTGGCAGGGAGGAGGGGACTGGCCGACAGGAGTCTGGGACACACGTCGCCACAAGCTCCTTCCCAGGCTTCCCGGCTTCCCCTGCTGGGGAGGACTGAGGACCGTGGATTTCGGGAGTTCGCTGGCTTCACGAGGCAGAGCCTTCCCTCTAAGTCGTGCTACTTTCCATTCCGCTGCCGTGCGATTGTCATCGAATCCATTTTTCTGGATCGATGCTGTAGGAAGGCATGGGTCACCTGAAGGCAGGTTGCGCGTCACCCCACCTGGCAGAACCCGCACACCTGTGTGCGCTGCCGGACACAGGCGCCGCGCTGGGCCGTGGAGCAGTCGCCCGGAGACCGGTGTGGGGCGCCCTCGCCAAGCCCGGCGCGCTCCAGGGGCTCTGTTCTGGGAGACGGGGAGGGGTGTGCCCACTCTCTAGAGGAACCCCAGCCACCGCGGGAGACTCGGGATGTCTGACTCTGTTGTCTCTGCCGAGTGTCTGCACCTCCTCCCCCAGGCCCCGTCTTCGCCCCACGCGTGCTCCCTGTTACTCCTCACCCCAACATCTAAGCATCTAAGCAGATGCCATGTCAGATTCCCAGGGCTGCTGTGACACTGGGTGGCTTCAAACAACAGACATTTATTCTACCCGTTCTGGACACCAAAAGTCCAAAATCCAGGTGTCAGCAGGGCTGGGTCCAGGGACTCAGAGAGAGTGCCCTGCCCCAGCCTCCCTCCTGGCTTGTGGCGGCTGCCAGCAGTTCTCGGTGTCCTCTGGCTGTGGCGGCTGCGTACCTCCACTCTCTGGTTCCATTGTCACATGGTCATCTTCCTTCCGTGTGTCTATGTCATCACACGGCATTCACCTCTCCACGTGTCCCTGTCTCTGTGTCTCTTCTCCTCTTCCTAAAAGAGGGGGACACCAGTCATACTGGATTAGGGCCCACCCTCATGACCTCATCTTGGCTTAATGACATCTGCAAAGACCCTATTTCCAAATAAGGTCACATTCACAGGTGCCAGGGGTTAGGGCTTCAGCTATCTTGTGGAGGGGACTGTTAAACTCACATCAGCAGCCAAGTCCCGAGAGCTCTCACACTGTGTGGAGCCCCAGGTCCCCTCTCCTGTCATCTCTCCAGTCTTGCCATCCAGCCCTGGTGCCCTCAAACACATTACTGCCTGGCAAGGGACATCTTCCCGGCCTTCTCTGAGCCTCCCAGAGCACCCTCTGCCCTCCGATGGCTTTTGTTTGTGCCACATGTGCATGTGTACGTACTTCTGCCCCTTCCGTGTCTGTGGACCCCAGGAGACCAGAACCGCATCTAACCACCTCTGTGTCCTCTACACAGTCACAGAAGAAAAACATAAACGTGATGGGTAATTTTATGTGTCAACTTGACCGGGCCATGGGGTGCCCAGATGTTTGATTGAACATTCGTTCTGGGTGTGTCTGCGCAGGTATTTCTGGAAGCGATTAGCGTTTGAACAGATGGGCTGAGTAAGGTAGACGGCCCTCCCCAGTGTGGGTGGGCCTCATCCAACCCACCGAGGGCCCAGATAGAACAAAATCCAGAGGAGGAGAGGATTCTTTCTCTCTGCCTGACTGCTTGCGCTGGGACGTTGGTCTTCCCTGTCCTCAGACTGCGAGTCACATCATTGGCTTCTCAGTTTCCATCCTTTGGACTTGGCTGAGGGCTCGTCCCATCAGCTCTCCTGGTTCTCAGACCTTCAGGCTCAGACTGCAGTCACACCGCCAGCTTCCTGGGGCTCCAGCCTGCAGGCAGCAGGTGACGGAGTGTCTCTGCCTCCAAAATCACGTGATTCCTCATTCATTCTCTCCCTCTCTCACTTTCTAGGTAGATGGGCGGATGGATGGATCGGCAGATAGGTAGATAGATCAATATCCCTCCACACTAGGTGGCAGCTAGGGGACGGTCTTCCTAGAGGAAGGTCATGTCAAGGGCAGCCCTAGCCCCAGAGCCTGTCCCCTGCAGGGGGTGACATGCCCACACACCCCCCCCCCCGGAAAGTGCACCTCTCCACTTCTCAACCAACCACATGGGAGGATGAGAAGACAAATCCCAAATCTATTTGTGCTTTTTCCAGGTTTTGAAGAACCAACTATAGACTTTATTGTTTTGCTTTAGAAAGATGCCAGATCAAGAACCAGGTGTAGTCCCATCTCTGCCCCATATTAGCCATGTGGCCTCTGGCCACCGCTCCGAGCCTCAGCGTCCTCACCTTCAACACGCAGGTGACACCTGTCCTCCCCGGTAGCAGGGTGCCCCTGAGCTGCTGCAGTTGAAGACGCTGCAATCCTGAGAAGAGAGGAACTTGCTTTATTGCTGTTTTCTCTGTCGCCCCAAATGGACAGGAGAATGATCTTGACCTTAGGGAAATGGTTTGGAATAAAAAGTGGCTATGCTTTAAGGGTCGTAGTGAAATGGAAATGGAGGTTTGGGTAATGCCCGTCAGAAGAGAGGAGGAGAGCCGGTGGCCTTTGTTATCAGCCCACAGAAAACTGCAGGGTCAGGGGACGATGCCTCGGGGACTCCCAGCCCGGCACACAGTGGTGGCTTCGCACAAGCCCGCCCCCGACGCTCGCTCCCGGCGCTGCGCTGGCTGGCCGCGTAGTGTGCCGCGCGCACTGCACTGAGCTCTGTGTGTGCCGTGAGCCACGCACCTGCCACTCGGCCGAGAGGTCTGTGTCCCCCGTCACACAAAACCCTCCAGAAGCCCTGCGAGGCCCCAGGTACCTGACGCACGAGGAGACGCATCTGGGCAGGGCGAGGCCTTTCCCGCAGCCCTACTGCGAGGAAGACGAAGGGCTGGGTCCCCAGAGTCCCATGCCTAGCACTGGGCTGTCCCGGCCGCTAGGGAATCAGTGAGCACACGCCCCCACTGCACGGGCGGGGGACCGGGGCCCCAGGAGGGGACACGACTTGCCCGTGTCACTCTGAAAGCCAGCAGCCCGAGACCAGTCCCCACTCCTAGACCAAGATCCTCTGGCTACTTGGACTTCCTCCACGAGAAATCCGGCTCACACGGCCCCTTCCGAACGCAGCCTGCAGCATGCTCACGGCCACCGCAGTCCCCCCGGGCTCTTTGCACCAGGTGATTTACCTGACAGCCAGCTCATCTCTCCTTTCCTGGACTCTCCCCCTCCCGGCCCACGTGCCGCCCGAGTGACACGCTCAGTGCTGTAAATGAGGGTGTCACGGCGTGTCCTCGGGTCTTACTGGAAGTGCAGCTGTTAAAAAACGACTCAGTAAACAGCCGGCCGGGTCGGTGCACGTCAGCAGCGCTGATCCGGGCCTCCCACGTCAGCAAAGGCGGGGCTGGGCCTGAGCCAGAGCCCTCTCGGCTGCGGCCTGTCCCTGGCACCCCGAGGCTCTGGCCCGCTCCTGCTGGCTCCTGGAGCTTCCAGAGTCTTCTTGAGGAAACCATCCCGCACTCAGAACTGAGACGGGTTGTCATCTTCCCAGGCGACCACGTTCCTTTCTGGGCCGCGCAGGAAAAGGGGACCAGAATGCGGATAAAGACGCAGATAACCGAGACCCTAAGCTGAAACCACACCCCAGGAACGGGTCTCCCGTCTACGCTGGTCCCGGTTAGGGGTCTCCTTGCCAACGCCGGACAAAGGAGAATGGTTTGCTTGTAAAACCACAGTTCAGCAACAGTCCATGGGAGGGCTAAAGAATTTACTGGAAGAAAGAATTGAAAACTCCACACTGGAAATGTGAGAATGGAAGCTGGAATTGGCTTCTTTAAAACGTCAGTGAGAGAGAAAGCCTGCGACGTAGGCACTCGGGCCAGCACAGTGTCCTGGCAGAGGTCGAAAGGGGGCTTTTCCCTCTTGTCTGAGAGCTCGCCGTCCCTCGACCCTGCAGAGAGACGCCCGCAGGGAACGGGCCATAAACGGGAGATAAAAGTGCCTGCCGGCGTAGGCTCTGCATCAACCACCGACAATAAGCAACAGCGGTCACAGCAATTACTGTCGACTTGGCCATGGCCCACTCAGAAGGCGGTGGGGACTTTGCCTTGTCCCCCACCGTGCCTCCAGCCCAGAACCGTCGTTGGCACAGAGCTGCTCAATCTCTGTTTCGGACACATCAGTGCACGTGTGAATTCCTTGTGCCAGACACCACGATTCACGCTGTCCGTGTGTCACGATTCCCAGTCTCTTCCGCCCCGAGAAGCAGGTGTGAGCCCCGTTTCACGGACGAGGGAAGCAAAGGCTTGGAGAGGTTGAGGAACTCGCCCGAGGTTTGCAGCCGTTGGGAAGCGCGGCCGCGGTGCAATTGACCGGGACACCAGCCTCCTCTCTCCAGGCGCTGCCGCCTCTAGCCAGGGTCTCTGGGCAGGTCCATGGCTCCCCAAGTTCTCCTTTGAATTGTGAAGGGGACCCCAGAGATTTCATGCAAAATGGCGCGTGTATCTGCACCTGCACGTGGTGCTGGGATGAAAGTCCTTGGCCTTCAGGTTTGCAGAGAAACCCAGGATCAAAAACCGTTTAGGAATCACTGTTCTAGAACCCTGCTAGAGTACCTAGCAGGAGGGTGAGCAGCCGCCCCTGCGCCCCGGTCAGCCTTGGTTGTACACTGACAACCCCACGTCCTGGGGCCCCCCTGTTGGTGAGGGGCCTGCAGAGCCCGCGGGAGGATGGATCGAGTCCGGGCTCCTGGCGCTTCTCTGCCAGCAGGAGAGAACAGCTAAGGGGAGCAGCGAGGAGGGAGGCAGGGACAGCTACGGGCTCCTAGCTGGGGTGGGAAAGGCCTGGGAGGAAGTCCCGGGAGGGGGCTCAGCGGGAGCATGGGGGGTCGAGGGCAGAGAGCTTTCTGAGGAGTGAAAGGGCGGCCAGAAGCCCACCCTCCCCAAACTCTGCAGCCAATGTCTGTTTAGAGGAGCACTGGGCCGTGCAGGGAGGACAGTGGACATTGTGTTCACATTGCCTTGGCTTCGCGCACATTTTGTGAGCGACCCTCCCCTCCCAATGCACGGGGTGGTCTAGGGGTCCCCAGGAACCCCAAGAGCAGGCCCTGCAGACCAGCAGCTCTAGACGGGTTGGACTCTGAGGCCCACAGCGCGTCTCTGGCAGGAGCGTCCCCGGGAGCCTCCCAAAGCCAACTCTCGGAGAGGGGCGTGGGCTGTGCGTCCCCAGGGAGGTGTCCGGGCGCGCTCATTCCCCATGGCGGGTGAGGGGCCAGGCGCGGGGTCTGGATCCCCCAGGCCTCTGCTGCAGCCCCAGGGAGGCCGGCGCCCGGCGACAGAGGGTCATCAGCCTGCTACGCCACAGAAAGCAAGGGCAGGCTGGCCCGGCCCACTTCCCTCCCTGGCTCAGCGGTGGCAGGACCTCCCGGGAGAGCGCCAGCTTCCCGCATCCGTGCGCTGCGGGCAGCCCTGCAGCTGGCGCAGCCGTGGACGCACTTGGGGGCTGCCAGGGGGTTGCTGCACATGCCTCTGCGCCTGCCTTTTGTTTCCTAGGTTCCGGGTGCCCTTGTCCCCGAAGCCCTTAGGAATGTGTGGCTCTGAGCTCCAGGTGGCTGAGTTCCAGCACCCCCAGGTGCCTTTTGCCCTAAGGACTGAGCAGCCCCAGAAACGACCGCAGGGAGGGAGTCCCATGTGTGAGTCCTGCCAGGCACAATGTCCCCAAAGCAAGCCTTCCTTCCCCAAGGCAGCAGCACTTGTCACCCAGGCCCACCGGGGCCCTGTCTTCTATTTGCGCGGAGCATGGCCAGGAGGAGCGTGTGTGCAAAGAGCAGAGTGTCACCTCACCTGGGCCATCTGTGTCAGAGGGCAGGCCCTTTGGAACATCCGCCTCGGCATGCCCGGCCTGGCTGCCCGTGGGCGGGACCCATGGGGTGTGTAAGAAGTAACCGCTGGCGTGGAGAAGGGCCCAGGCGTCTGACCCGCAGGCACAGGCTTTGCCTGCGGAAGGAAGCCGGAGGGCGCTTTGGTGGCGAAACGGCCAACTGTGCTAGGTTAGGTGGTTTTCAGACCTGCGCCCAGAACACAGCTGCAGGGCTCGCTTCCCTGCTCTCAAAGCTCTCCGGGTGCAAAAGACAGCCCCGCCCGCCCGTCCTAGGCCAGCCCTGGGCGTGACGGGTCACCAGGGCACCGGGCTGGGGTTCCGGGAAGAAGCCGGCTTTCAACGTGACTGCACACCACCGTGAATCACCCTGATCCGAATGAGGTGCACGTGGAGATCGCTGGTTGCCTCAGCGCGGCCCGCGGCTGCCTCAGAGAGCCGCTCGCCGCTGGCAGTTTCAGGGGGTACAGAGCGTGTTTGCATTAGAGTCTAGACTCGCGGCCTGGCCACCTTCGTGTGGCTGGCAGGGCCCGGCGAAAGCTGACTCCAGGGCCTGGGATTCCTCCGTGCTCGGCCCCAGCCCGCCACCTCCCTCTCCCGCCCCATCGAGGCACAACTCAGTTCGTGGTTTGGAGAGCTTCTCGGTCTAGTCCATCCTGCGTCAGGCTTGTTCTGTTGGTGGCTTCCTCTCGGAGTACGGACCTCACCAATATCACCTCCCTTGTTTCAGCCACTACACCCCGATTAATACAATCTAAAATCACATTGGCTGTTCTGGTATCCACAATGGCGAGTCACGATGAGGCTCATTTAGAGTCAACAAAAACCCTTTTATAAATGGCACTGTCTGGTCACATCTCCCTCACATACACCCTGCCCCCAGTAGCTGTTCTGTTGGGTTTTAGAGCAAAATGCCAGACTTTACATCTGTCCCTGTTATATTTCTTCTTTTTAATCTGGCCTGTCATCTCTCCCCTGCCATCCAGTGTTGACGGTTTGTGGTTTGGAAACCTGGTGCAAGAGCCTTCTGGAGATTGCTCGGAGGGCAGTTTCGGCGACGGGGACACCTAACCGTGCTGGCCCGCGGCTTACTTTCCCCTGCCTCCTCCAGGAAGGTAACGTGAGGCCGCGTGTTAATCGCTTTGCTGAAACATCTTGAAGTGTTAGGACGGGTAGAGATGTCAGGGACCCCTCCGGTCCAAGCCTTTCGTCTTACAGATGAAGAAACTGAGTCCAGGTGAGGTTTAGGGGCTGCCTGGTCTGTGGTGGAGCCCAAGACCGTGACTTGGGTACTCCCGCACGCAGGCACCCTTCGGTTATTTGCTCAGCACGTTGTCATCAGGTCTGCTAGAAGATTCCGAAACAGTGGACCACAGAGCCCTGGCCCTTGGGGAGGAAAGGCTGGGCGGGTCCCAAAACTCAGGGGCAGCAGTGCCCTGACGGATGGCTAGAAACAAAATGCCATCTGGCCACGGGACGAAATACTATCCAGCCATGCAAAGGAGTGGGGGGACTGGCGCACGCCACAGTGTAGACGGACCTTGGAAAGAGTGTGGTAAGTGAGGAAGCCAGTGGCAAAGGTGTCACACGGTGTGTGATTCCGGTTTACACGTGACGTGCAGAACAAGGCCGCCCTTAGAGACAGAAAGCACATGCGCGGTTGCCAGGGGCTGGGGGCACAGGGGCAGATGGCAGTGACCGCTGATGGGTACACGGTTTCTTTTTGGCGCGATGGAAATGAAATGCTCTGCAATTAGGCCGTGGTGATGGCTGCACAACCCTGTGAACGTTCTCAAAACCGCTGAATTGTACCTCTTAAAATGGTTAACAGGGTGAGTTTTGTGGTATGTGAATTACGCCCTAATTTTTTCAAAAAAGCCTCAGCCTGTCTTTCCACTCCCTCGTGCCGAGGACAAACCCTCTCTTCTGCCCCCACCAAGGAGCTCTGCAGAGGGTGGGCGGCCGGGGCTTTTGTTTTCCACATCAAGGGCCTTTCTGCAACGTCCTTCCTGGCGCGGGCTGTGTCCCCTGGGCTGCTGTCCTGGGCACCCCAGCCCGCCTGGCGGGCTCCCCCCCCCGCCCCCCCCCCGGGGCTTCGATGGGAAATGCGCTTTGCGGCTGCACCCCAGAGAGCGGGCGCTCCTCGGGCTGCTCTGCCTGGCAGGAAGGAGGGGACACCTGCCCGTCACTCTTCAACCCGCCCCGTGCTTGTGTGAAGGGCCACACGGGTCGGCGTCCCCTGCCCCGAGCCCTCGGATCCCCGACCCGCAGAGCAGCGGCCTGCCCCTGGCGCAGCCACGCAGCCCCGGCCAGCCCCGGCCAGCCCCAGCGCCCTCGCACGCCCAGCCCCAGTCCGGTACCGCGTCGCCTGGGCAGGCACACACACCACACACCACACCACACACCACACACCACACACCACACCAGACACCACACACCACAACACACCACACACACTCCACGACCCACACCACCCAGCCACACACACACACACACCACACCACACCCAACCACGACAACCACCCACCACACACCGACACCACCACCACACACCACACCACAACACACCACACCAACCACACACCACCACCCCACCACCCTCACACACACACCACACCCACACACCACACACCCCACACCACCACACCAGACACACCACACACCACACCACACACCACACCACACACCACACCACACACCACCACACACCACACACCACACACACCACACACCAACACCCACACACAACACACACCACACCACACCACACACACCCACACCAGACACCTCACAGCACCACCACGACACACCACCAACCACACCACACCACACCACACACCACACCACACACCACACACCACCACCACACACACCAGCACCAACACACACACCAAACCACACACCACACACCACACACCACACACACCACACCAGACACCACCACACACCACACACACACACCCACACACCACACACCACACCACACCACACACCACACACCACACACCACACACCACACCACACACCACACCACGACCACACACCACACACACACACACACCACACACCACACCCACATCCACCCACACACCACACCACAGCACACACCACACCACCACCACATCACACACCACACCACCACACACACACACATCCCACACCACACACACACACCCACACCACGCACACACACACCACCGACACCCACACCACACCACACACCACATACCACACCACACACCACACCAGACACCAACACCACACACCACACCACACAACCACACACCAACACCACACACCACACACACACCACACACACACCACACCACACACCGACACACACACCACACACCACACCACACACCAACACACACACCACACCACACCACACCACACACCACACACACACCACACCACCACACACACACCACACACGCACCACCACACACACACACACACACACACCACACCACAAACACCACACACCACACCACACACCACACACACACCACACCACCAACCACACCATAACCACACCACACACATCCACACACCGACACCACACACCCACCACACCACACCACACCACACACCACACCACAAACCACACACCACACCACACACCAAACAGACACCACACACCACACCCACACACACCACACCAACACACACACACCACACCCCACACACCACACCACACACACACCACACCAGACACCAGACACCACACACACACACACACCAACACACCCACCACCAACACCCACACCACACACCACCCACACACCACACCCAACAACCAACCAGACACCAGACACCACACACACACCACACACCAACCCACACCCACACACAAACCAACACCACACCACACACCACACACCACACCACACACCACACCACACACCACACACCACACAATACACACCACCACACCACACCACACCACACCACCACACCCACAACACCACCACCACACACACACCCACCAGACACAAGACACCCACACCACACACACCACACACCACCACACCACACCACACACCACACACCACACCACCACACCACACACCACACCACACCACCACACCACAACCACACCACACCAGACACCACACCAGACACCAGACACCACACACCACACCACACACCACACCACACACCACACCATACACCGCACCACGCACAACACACCACACACACCACACGCACACACACACACCACACACACACCACACACACACACACACACACAGCCGGCACAGCCGCAGCCCGCACGCTGCCGCAGCACACGCGCGCACACTTGTCTGTCTGCGCGTCTCCGTCCCCGCCCGTTCGCCGTGGCGGGAGGGGAGCAGTCAGCGGCTGGGGCAGCCGGCCGCGGGAAGCCGCGGACACGGGACTCGCGCCGCCATCCGCGCCAGAGCAGCGCTCGCCGAGCGCCGTGTCCTCAGCGCCGCCACGCTGCCCCCAGCCCCTCCCAGCCCGGAGCGGGCCTGCCAGGCTGCAGGAGGGCGTGCGGCGCCAGAGGCGTGGAGCGAACCCGGGTTCGGGAACGCTCTGCGCCAGGCGACCGGCGACAAGCCCGCTGCCCTCTGGGGACGGAGGCCAAGCCAGGTGATGCCAAGGCCCGGCTCTCGGGAAAGGGCTGAGCAGGGAGGACAAGAGGGTGGCCAGTGGCTGGCGACAGGCTGTCCCCTTGCCTGTCATGGGAGACCTGAGCGGCACCTGTGGGGGCGGCACACGGCGGGGTGGCCCCGCGTCCCCGTCCTGCCGGGGAGGGAACAGAGGCCTGGCCGAGCTCCGGGACAGAGTTCCCTCATTGTCACCTCCAGGAGCGACCGGCCGCGGCACTCACTCCCCGGCGGGCTCTTTGGGACATCACACGGACGGCCTTTCCGTGTCTGAGAGAAGCTCACACGCCGTGAGAACCTTCCATCCCACGCGGAGCCAGCTATTACGCTGATAAAATGGGAAAGGGAAAACTTTTCTGAGAGCGAAGGGCTTTGGAGACCCGTGTTTCCGTGTTCTTTCTTCCCAGAGGCTGATCTGAGGGAATCTCTGCCCCCCTCAAACCCCTGCTTGGACGCCGGCGTCTGTCCCCTCCTGAAAGGCACACGACACGCAGCAGGCACCACTGGGCTTCGGAGAGCGTGGGCTTTGGAAGTAGAAGGACCTCCCCGGTTCACTGTCTCGCCACGGGAAAGAGCATGCTCCAGGGAGGCTGCCTTCTCTGACCCGGCCCTCCCTAGGCCCGAGCGTCGAGGTGGGGGTTTCAAAGAGTAAACCGAGCACCGCCCAACTCAAAGCCCAGAGCAACGCGGGCTAGGCCGGCCCCTTTATCCGTAGCGGGAGCAAGCTGCTTGTCTTCACCTCACCGGTTATTTGAGCACACAGTATGGAGCACAGAGACAAACACTCACCTTTTGTTTTCAGGGATTAAAAAGCATGTTTAAAAATATCTGAAGCCAAAAAGACACTCAGAAGCAACCGTGAGAAACGCAACCTAGAGAACAACTGCAGAAGAGAAAATGAGAACGACCCACATCTCTGTTCCGGGCTCTTCATTGGACATCTTATCTATTTTTATTTTTTCTAATACTGCGATTTTTGACTAAAGCCATTTTCTAATGCTGCTGAGGACGTTTTCAGTATGAGGCATGAACTCAGGGCAGATGCGTCATTTCCAAGGACACGGTTTAACTGGGTGAATTGTATTTAGGAGAAGTGATTTAAAATGCTACGCGTTGCATAACTTAGATGGACTCTCTTTTATTTTTTTATATTTTTATTTTTTGTAGCTGGGACTACAGGCATGTGCCACCAAGCTCGGCTAATATTTTTCTATATACTTTTAGTTGGCCAATTAATTTCTTTCTCTTTATAGTAGAGACGGGGTCTCGCTCTTGCTCAGGCTGGTCTCGAATTCCTGACCTTGAGCGATCCGCCCGCCTCGGCCTCCCAGAGTGCTAGCATGACAGGCATCATCCTGTCATATTAGCACAACATAAATGCATATTTTGCACAACCAAGTCAATCTCAGAGTTCTTGCTAGAGAAGGTGTGAACTGGGCATTTTTAATCAATGGTAGCTGGTATCGAGAGCTCAAAAGTTCCAATCTGCCTCTGCCATCTGCCCGCTGAATGACCTCAGGTTGATTTAACACGTCTAGACTGGTGTCCCCATCTCTGAAGGGCGGTAGTAACAGTAGCTTGCTGGCAGGCGGGCCATAAAGATTAAATGAGATGTTGATTGCAAAAGAACAGCCCACAGTCCGCACTTTCCTTTGCCCCTGGATATGTTTTCCCACAATAAATTGTGTGCACCTTAGAAAAATCAAACCATCATTTGGTTACTTTTTGAGCTAATCAAAGAGATGCCTGTAAAATTAATTGAAATTTATATCTTTGTTTTCTGGATATTTTAGTTAGAAATAAGGATTGACGCATGACAAAGAGAAGGAGAGAGAGAAGGAGGGAGGGAGGGAGGGAGGGAGGAAAGAGAGAAGGCAGGAAGGGGGAGGGAGGGAGGAGGGTCTATTTTATCAAACAAACTCAAAGAACTTAAAATGGAGCTGATGCTATTTTCTCCTTCTCTGTGTATGAAAATCAGAAAGAAATCAAACGTCTTCCCCTGTTTTTTGCTTTTTGCTTTTTTATTTGGTGCTCACCTGGACAGGCTGTGGCTCGTTGCACCTATTTATGAAGCCTTTCTTTTTCTTGAAACAGCACACTGGATAAATACTCCTGGAGTTAGAAATATGTGAAAGCACCGGGCCAGGGGGTAGTGACAAAAACTACAATAAAAAAGGCCATGTGCATGACGCAGGGTAAGAGCTCCTGCTCGGTCAATATTTGCTGAATGAATGAAGTCTAGCCTCCGATGGTATCTCTGACCTTTCCTATATTATACTCTTTCCTAGGGTTGGCTGCGAGACGGGTACCCCACTTTAACTTTCTGTTTCCGTGGGTATTCACGGTGTCATTGCACAGACTAGAATTGCCGTGTTGTGCCACCTGTTTTATGAGTGCGTTCTCGGACCGCCTGCACCACCGTCATGTGCTAAGAAGGCAAATTCCAGGCCCTTCCCAATGCCAAAGACCAGGGATTCTGAAGCTAAGTTGTGTTATATGTGACTGGTCCTAAATTAGCTTCTGTGGGTTGGGGACAGAGGAGAAATGTCTGGCTTCTAGAAAGGGGAGCAGCGAGGGCTGCCTTGGGGCCCACCAGCCTGCCTCCAGGTGGGGAGGGGCAGGCAGGAGCTCAGCATCATTGTCTTTCCATCTGAATGCCTAAGAAGACACTGTTTAAGAAGCTTCAAATAAAGCTTTATTATTTAAACTTACAAAACCACCAGCTAAGAAACCAAAGTAACGTAAGCACTGTATTAGCAGGAGGGGGGATGAGCAGATCCTCACTTCTCATGGCAGAAAGTCTAGCGCTGGTGCCAAAAATGGGTGTTCCTGAAGTAGCACACATATATCACTTAGCAACCTGGGGGCGATTGCCATCGGGGCTAAAGCAGAAATAGTTACAGGGTTTCATTTAAAATGGTGATTTCTGAGAAGCTAGCCTGGGGGGTGTGCAGCGGACAGGGCAGGGAACTCTTGCTTTCGTGATAAAAAGCTTTGTATGCAGGTTGGGTTTTTTTTTTTTCCAGCCATGTCTAACTCATAGAAAAAAAGTTTAGGATTTGTAGTTAAAGAGCATTTGTGCTGGTTGAGTCAGCCTCTCTGGGTGGAGGGGCCCACAGAAGTGACTCAAAACCGTCCTGAGTGAGTCTCTGAGCTGTCGCGTCACCTGCCTGGCACCAGGTAACTTTGTGAGGTGGATGAATAAATAACCAAAGAAGCTGCGGAGAAACTTCAATGCTGGCTGTTTGATATGCGCATGAGCATGCCTGCCTTACCCAGGGACCCAAAAGGGATCCAAATTGAAAGGCAAAACTGACCATTGTCAGGCAAAACCGACCATTGGCCAAACCAATGTATGCCTCCCATGTATTGATTGATGGCTTTACCTGTAACCCCTGTCTCTCTGAAATACATAATAACCAAACTGTGACCCAGCCACAGCGAGTCCACTGCTCAAGACCCCTTGGGAGTGGCCCATTGAAAGGCTGAGAGATTATCAGCCTCTTCCCTTCCTGCACCACTTCCATTTTGGGTCTTTTTTTTTTTTTCCTATTCTGATTTAAAAATTAGGAAAGTAAACCATTGAAAGCTACATCATGTGCAAACCCCTTCCCAACACGTCCTTGGCTGGCGCCATCACCCGGGAGCTGCCCGGGGTGGCCGGCGACCACCTTCTCATTTAGACCCCTCGGTGGGCTGCGGCCACCTCCACCTGCAGAACCTTCCCGCAAACCTCGTGGCGCTTTGAAGGCGTAAAGCAAGGTCTTCAACAGAAAAGCCGAGACAAACAAAAGCAAACACACACAGGTTCTGGTTTTCCACCCAGCGAGCTCAAAGAGCCTTTGTGGAAGCAAATCAAAGCTCTCCGCCAGCCGGCTCATCAGGTTTAATCATCAACCGTGCTTATCCGACCCTTGATGTGAAGAAAGAAGGTGCGAAACAATTCCTTTTGTGCTTTGGAGATTGATTTCGAAAGAGGCCTTGAGGTCAACTGGGCTTTGGCAGAAATGATAAGCAGGAAACAAAACACACCAGGTTGATTTCCCAAAGTCGGGCAGAAGGGACCTCCCAGATGCCACTTGCCACCAGAAAGCAGGGTCAGACCCGCCCTAACCACGTGTGTCAGGTTCACCTGCAGGAAACAGTGCTCACCTTGCTGACCAAGGGGTCCCTTAAATTGTGTGGGCCTTGGTTTCCTTAGCCAGCCCTTCACTATGGGTTAGAGCTGTGGGGTCTTTAGGTGGCATTCATCTCGGTCAGGGTGACTGGTGAACTGTCCTCAACCTGATAAACCCAGCTCCGTGGTTCCAGTTCCAACATCCCGTCTGAGAGATGGCCAGCCAGGAGATCTGCGGGTAGATGGTGACAAGAACAACAGCCAACAGTTGACGCTGCTGCCCGTGAACCTGCATTGAGTCAGGTCGCTTTGCTGGCACCTGAAGCCAGCCGTGGCTCAGTGTCTGGTAGAATATCATTCAGCCATAAAAGAGAATGAAATCCTGCCGTCTGCACAGCATGGATGAAACTAGACGGCACTATGTTAAGTGAAAAAAGTCAGGCTCAAAAAGACAAATATCACATGTTCTCACTCATGGGTGGGAGCTAAAAAAAAAAAAAAAAACTGGTCTCATGGAGGCAGAGAGTGAGTGATGGTGACCAGAGGCTGGGAAGGGCAGGGGGGAGGGGCTGATAAAGAGGGGAAGGTTAATGGGGGCAAAAATACAGTTAGCGAGAAGGAATAAGACCCAGTGTTTGGTAACACAGTGGGGTGAATGTAGTTAACAATAATTTGTTATGTATTTCACAATAGCTACAGAGTAGAATTGGAATGTTCCTAACACAAAGAAATGATCAATGCTTGGAGTGATGGATGCCCCAGTGACCTTGCTTTGATCATGACACATCTCGTGCTCGTATCAAAACATCACCCGTACTCCCTAACTGGGTATGACTATTATACATCCATGATAATGAAAAATAAAAATAAAAAAATTTAAGTAAAATAAAAGAAAACTTTAAGCAAGCTTCTTCAAAATCAGACAAACCAAACAAGGCAGCAGCCAAAGAATGAAGCAAAGAGCAAGTTAAGCCACCACTGAAGTCCCTTGCAAAGGACAAGGGAACATCCCGGCACAATACCCCGCTCAGCTTCTCCCGCCTTCCTTCTCCATCCTCTTCTCTGCATCTCATGTTTGGGTTATTTGGGATTCTCTTCTCCGCTCCAAGAAAATCCTGCCACATTCTTCCAGGACACTCTCTTGCTTTGTCTGTCCCTCTTTATGCAGCAGGAGTTCTCGAACACTTTCCTGGAAAATCCCACCAGTACCCCTCTGCCCCGTGGGACCCTGTACTTTCTTTCCTTCTACCAGAAGGTCAGGCCCAACGGGCCTTACAGGACGGAGGGGACTGAGCTTAGGGTCGGAAGGAGAGACTGGGATTATTGGCGCACGCGACATGTGGTCTCCGAAACACTATCGCTATTTTATTGATGGGCCATGATGTGTTGGACACTACATTAAATTGCTGAATTGAACAGGTGCCTAAGCTGAGGTTTTCCGAGATGCATTCTGAGGACACTGCTCCGAGGAGACGCTCCCTGACAGGAGCACCTGATGGGTAGATACATTTGGAAAACGTGTCATCCCTTGTCCATGTCCTGGAGATTCCTGGTGCACACCACATTTCTGATAATTCCTGCAGTGGACACACCCGTTTGTCATTGGCTAACCCAGTATTTCCCTAACCTATTTGATCACCAGACTTACTTGGTCACGGAGAAAGAAGGAGCTGATGTCGTCAGCGTCACTGTTGGCCACACCGAGCTCCCTGGCCCCCTGTGGTGACAGGACCTGGAGCCCCCAGCAGGGGGGACCTGCAGTGTTTGGGGCAGTGTAGACGTGGACGTGATCGAGCCTTGCCAGGAGGTATTTTTCCCCCAGGCACAAGGGCTGGGCAAGGACGAGCCAATGAGACAATTCAGCCATGGACCCTTGGCTGAAAACAGAATTCCTGTTTCTTTTTCTTTTCTTTTTTCTTTTTCTTTTTCTTTTTCTCCTTTTTCTTTTTCTTTTTCTTTTCTTTTCTTTTCTTTTCCTTTCTCTTTCTTTTTAAAAGAAAAATGAGTAATCAAGTTGGTGCTGCTGGATGGGATTTCTTTCCAAAAATGGTCATGTCTTTCCAAAAGCCCCCAGATC